GTACAGTTGCATTTTTAAAACAGCCCCTGAAATGTAGTGCCAAAGTATAAAGGTATTGGGCTACGGAGTGATGTTGCTACTTCCTCATTTGACAAACTCTCAATTTTTCTTGCTCCATTTTGGATCAGGCACTAAAGCTTTTCCCATATGAGGAGAATATATTTTTTTTGCCACTATATGAACCTGGAACACTCTCTTTTATTCACCTTTTTCTGTCATAGCACAAAAGTTGTAATGGGAAAGATTTAATTGCCTGTCTTCTTGGTAGGTAGTTGATATATGATATGGCACAGAAAGAGAAGGGAGAATATTTGAGGAAAAGGATCCAAGAAAAAAGGGAAGGCGGGAACGCAGTCGTTTTTTTTTCAAAGCAAGGACTTAGAAAAATGATACATTCCTCTTCTAATTTTGTTAACCATTTACAATCTATGAATGTTGTTTAGGCCACATGGGATGGTTGTCCACAGCTTGCTTATGATTGCTGCCAAGCCAGCATCCTTTAAGAAGTTATTAATTATAGAGTACAATGTACAGTGGGTGTGTTGAGATTAATCACTGATGCTGGAGTGACTTGCTGAAATGCATTTTAGTTTCATCTTTCGTCAGCTTGTAATGGGTTTTCCTACGCACCAGCAGGTGAACAGGTGCATAGCTGCTGCTTTTTCAATTTTGCTTTTAGATGGTACCAAACCATTCAGCAAAGAACAGGAACCTCCCTGTCTGTCAGGTGCCACTAAAATGGTTTTTGATGAAGTGTCAGGCTACTGAATGCTGGATGCAAAAATTGGTTTGCATTATCTTAATATAGTCTGGAGCTTGCTCTGAGGTTGTTCAGTGTTCTGCCTTTACTGTTGCTGCTTGCCTGAAATTTTCCATGGCTCTGAGCCAAATCAAGGTGGAATTCTCCTCCATGTCTCTGAATGGGAGGCTTTTAATTATTTGCCAGGATGGATTGACTTTGTACTGTTTTGCACACTGCTATTTTTCTGCAATAGAGAAAGAAACTATGCTGACAGAAAACAGCAGAGGAGGCAGCTATTTCAGTACAAAACAAAAATTAAGCTTCTTTCACGTTAAATTTGAGAGGATAAAATTATAAATAATTTCTGTTCTTGTCCTTTGACTTTGTTTCTCACTCCTCCATCCGGCCCCCAAGCAGCAGTCCGTACTCGGGATGAAAGACTTTGAAGGTGATCCATTGCCAGGCTTCTGTCAATGTCATACACGGCATGAATGAGAGTGACCTGGCTTCTTTCTGACTACTTGAATAATAATTTTCTCTTTCTCTACTGAGAAGACAGCAAGAGGAGGTTGAATTTGACTTCTGGCTGCCTAACAAACAGAGTGAGTTAGCTAGTTGCCTACCCATGGTGATGAGACAGCCAAGATTCGAAGGCCCTGGCGACATTTGTATCTGGCTGCCAAGCTGTAGGGGTGCCAAATGGGTAACTCACTGAAAAAAGGCAGGATAACATTGGGCCATCCCTGCCAATCACGAGTTAAATGTGGAGGATGGTTACAAGTATAGGGGGAGGTGTAGTGTGCAAGGTTGACAGTGGCCCAGTTAGTTTTGAGAAACTCAGAGCAGTGCTCCTGCTTCACAAAAATTGTTTTAAGCTCGGCTCTCATTTGACTTTTTAATGGCCCTAACTTGGGTGGATCCAATGAGAGCGTGCGCAGTGTTCCTTTATATGGTAATCCATGTCTTCGGACTTAAGTTTACACGTTGAAGACTGTATGCAATCTAAGACAGGCATGTGATTTGGGTGCTGAATACTTGATCCCTTTCAAAATGGCCCAGGCCACAGCTTCGTTAATGAGCCGCAAAGTCCTCAATCCCACTTTGTAGCCATTACTACCCTCTTAATGCTAGGTTCAAGTCAGAATTGCCCAGAAAGAAAGTGAAAATGACATGTTTCTATGCATTGCGTGGTCTCTGGAAATTCAGTGTATCTGCCAAATGGAAACTAGTGGTTGTTGTTTTGCCAGTTTGAAGTGACGATGGAGTTTCAAAGCTTTTTCCAGTTTAGAGAAGCAGTTGAATTTGGTGGTTTTGTATGTGGGAGCACTAGTGTGTAGCACCATCAAGTGGAACCATGCAGAGTCAGTTTCACACTCCCGACTTGTAAGTTTTCCATTACCTTACATGGAAAAAGGAACCCTGGAAGAAGTGAGCTCACTGGCCTGCTGACTTGTGCCACTTCATAGCTTATTAAAGAGGCCATTGGTAGGGGAGTGCAAGAATGTGATCCACCTGTCCCGTTTGCCATTGGAGACATGTCGTTCAAAAGGATTTGCCAGGGGAATTCAAGAGGAAAGATTTAGTAGTATCCATCATTAAATACACACAAATGAAACAGATGTGTGGAAAATAATGCTGAGGTGAATAGCAATACAGAATGCTTCTCATGATGAAAGAGTCAAATTCATGAGGGAATATTTTCCAAAGTTTAGAAAATAGAAAACTTTTTTTTTTCAGAGCTTTTTTTGTGACTTTACTCTGTTACCATAGCTATATAATTTTGCAGAAATAAAACTGGGATTTGATGAACTGGATAAAAAGTAAAAGTTGAGAAACAATGTAAAAATAAAAAGAAAATTTGAAACAATTGGAAAGATTTATGTGAAAGTTTAATATCTCTTTTGTGGCAGAGGGATGAAGTTTAATAATTATGATTGAACCTGACAAGAAAATATTTATTTCAGACATATGAGTGCTCAGAACCATATCTAGCATACTGGCTCAGTGAGTTATAGAGCTGTTGAACAGAGGGGGTTACTATAGCTGTTGAACTGAGGGAACTGGATTAACCTGCACAGTTATGTTGGCAAAATCGCTGATATAATCTGTATTAATGAGTGCGTTGATGATCGTGTAATGGGAATTTATGACGTTGCTAGTTTACATTATCACTAAGTATTTTTGAGATTTAAAGTTAGGTGGCATTATATGGTGAACTTTTGGATTATATTGCAAAATTCAGATATCAATACAAGATAAAGTATCTAGTATATATTTTCAGGATTACAAACAAGTTAGCACTTTAAATTATTTTGGAGCCAGATTCTTACATGATTCAAATTGCGTTTAACACCAGTGTTGTCATAATTTTCAGTGAGTAGGTAGTCTAGAGCATTTGTGGTATTTTTTCACAATCAAAAATGGATTCAAAACCTGATTACCTTTTGTTGATAATGCAGGACAATAATACACATTTAATAATATCACCCTGCACCAAGACCAGAAATCCTTGATATTGGATGCTCTTCATAAAATACTGTTGAAAAGTGAACTGCAAAAGTATATACACAAAGAAATGAAATGGCATATGCTTTGAAAAACAACAGATACCAAGAGTGAGTTCAAAGCTGTAATTAAATCTTGAAGTTCAGATGACCATTGTAAATGAATCAAGGGATCTCCTACTGTGCTCGGTGTCACCAGAACCCCTCAATTCAATGGTAACCTTGCAACTTTTTTTCTGGGTTTCCATTGGTCTTTATTTCAGATGATTTCACAACTTTAATGATCATGTAGCATATGATGTATCCCAAGAAAAAGTTATTTTTTTGTTCACATTCTGCTAATGCACAAAAATAGGGAAGCATAGTAAGAATTTGGATTTTTGTATATGTCAATTATGTCTGTGAATATGATGGTGATAAAACTTGCATATAAGTGACATCTTTATCCAAGTATTCCACATGTTACACCCCACACACTGAGCAGTAATATTAAGTGAAATACAGTACATTATGCTGTGCAACTATGTTTAATGTAACATAAACATTTAGACACTAGTCGACAAATGGAAATCTGCTTCTGCATCTGCTGGCAAGCTGCTTACTGCAGTCAGCAGCTGAGCATGTTTAGCTCTTGCTGTTGCAAGCAGGGTTCATCCTAAATAATAGTGCAGATTTTTTTCTCCTTTAGGGACATGGAAAGCTTGAATCCAGCAGTGTGGCTTTTATTGCACAAATGTTAGAGGAAAAGTCTTAAATCATTGCTTCGATGTGTAAGCATCATCACAGTGCACTCATTTAACTTGCTCTGTCGAAATTTTCACAGTGCGTGTGCCCGGAAGAAAAGGAGGGGAATGGGATAAAAGGGAGAATGTAGGGTGCTGATATTAAAACAGTGAACTATTTCACAGTCACCTTTGTTTGTAACTACATTATTTTCATATTTTTGTTAGTCATTATGATTAGCAAAGCCCTTCCTTGTTTCCAGCATTGCTCAACAGGGGAGCTGTAAGTAGTAGAGTCTTAAACGGAATGGAAAGTTATGTTGATGGAATGTTTCAGCTATACTTAGTGCAAAATTTATTTTAAAAAAACCATAGAATGTGGGCCATAAGCCAGTCGAGTGTAAATGTTACCTTCATAGTCATTATAAGTTTGCATAGCACTAGATTTTCAACACTTTTCCTCTTTTTCTCCCTTCTTACTTTTTCAGCTTGCCTCAGTTTGTAGCACCTGTCTCTGTGTCAAAAAGGCCGTTGGTTTAATTCCTACAGAACAAGGGTGTTCTCCATTGTCGATGATGTCATTCTTCACATGAGTCAGTAAAGTGAATCTTATCTGTCTCCACTGATGGTGCTGGTGTGTTAAAAAGATCCCATGGCAGTATTTTCAGGGGAGCAGGTTGTTTTCCTGGTGTTCAGGCCAGTGTTCACCTCTCAAAAATACATGAACAAGTCATGCATGTAATTTACGATATGCAGGGCCTTGCTGTGTATGCATTGGTTGCTTCACTTACCTGCAACAACAAAAGATCCCATTTTGTGTGAAGCCTTTCAGGACTTCAGAGTGTCCCAAAGTGCTTTAAAACTATTGAAGCACTTTTATTGGATAGAAAATTACAAAAGTGATGGCACTACAAAAAAAATGTTTATTTGATATCAAATTCTTCAGGTGTTCTTGGAAATGATCAAGCATTAAATAAACACTTTTTTAATGTTATAAAATATCAATCTACTTTTCCTTTTTCTTACAAATAGGACAAATCCAGTACTTTATGAATTGGGTGCAGGGTAACAGCACGCTATCCCATGGAGACTTAGAATTGGCCTGCTGGTACAAACCTGGTCGAGAGACCTCTGCCAGAACAGTGAGGCCTAAGGCCCACACAACATCAACTCTGTCCTCAAACAGAACAGGCCCGTGAAACATTGACTGGATATTCTCAGGTGAATTGCTGATGAGCTGTATTTGAATTGGGACTTCTGTGTTGCCACTGGATTTAATGTGATTCAGAGAAGGGAAATGGGCATTCAGGAAAGTGGAACGATCTGGTAGAGGGTGACCAGGAAAGGAAGATTGAAGACGGGCTGATTTTGAAAAAAGGGAGTGATCGAGGAAGGTGATAAAGTTGGCAATCAGGTGGGTTGGGGGAGAGGTGTGAAAGATCTGATAGAAATGGAAGCACTGGCCTAGATTTTGTTGTGAGCTGTTCACCTGATGTACTTTTGATTAGAATTAGGCTTGTCAGTGAGACTTGGGTCATTAACTATCTGCTGCAATTGGGCACCATTTACAGGATACCAGTTACGCCTGTAAGCAAGCAAAGTATCAGGAAGGTGCTTCAACATATTAGATTGAAGAATCCTTACTAAGCCATACAGATGGCAAAGTGTGAAGTAACAAAGAAGAAATGTAAATTACATTTGGTTAATTGTGCAGAAAACAACAAGGTATGGGCGTATGTACGGTATTAAGGGAGAGATGCAAGTGTAAAAAACAGAAATTGCCTGGAAAAAAAATTACCTTAATTTCTCTAAAATAATCTGTAACACTAACTATCTTCGGAGGGAATAAGACTATACACTTGTAAATTAAATATTTTAGGGCAGAGATGTTATTCTATAGTAATTATCACTAAGCCTGTTTAAAAAGTCAGTTACTCCATCTTGTAGAATCCTATATCTTTTCATCTGACTTCAGAGTGAGTACATTTATCTTAGGATCATGCAACAACAGTAATCTCTTAACAGCTTTGATCAACAAAGACTGCATTAGTACACTCTGTTGAGGAACAAGGTATTATTGACAACAGCTTCTGGATTTCCACCTTCTACTGTCGGATGTGCAAACATCCAAGTTTGCTGGCATTGATAGTGAACATTTATATGTTTTTCATATGATTGGTTGTGAGTTGACTGGGCCAATATGGGCTTAGTCTGAAGCAACCTGATCCCATTTGCCAGTTGACAAATGTGGTAACTTCACAAATAAGTCTGCTGACCCAGATGACAAGGTGAGGAGAATTAAAACAGGCTAGGTTGAAAATAAAAACAAAAGTACTGGAAATACTTGGCAGGTCAGGCAGCATTGCTGGAGAAAAATAAAATTAATAGGTGGAATCTTCTGCTCCCCATGGTGGCTAGCTTGGAGGTGAGAAGGTAGTAGGATGGTGGTGAACCTAACCCTCACCATCTTCCTGCCTCTAGCAGAAATAAATTCTGGGTGGGCATGCTCAAAGTTGTCCTCCCTGCCCTGCTGCCATTTAATGCCCATTGAGGTCAGTCAATTATGTCTTGACTGCTTTAGCCTGTCACCAATGAGATTATCCAGTTGCAATCTGGCCTGTTACTATGCAGAATGACATCTGCCACAGTGCAGGCACCTTGGCGGAGGGTTGTTCCCCCAATCAAAGGGACTGGACATTGGTCTGGATGTTCTCCACTGGGAGCCAACCCTCAGACCTTGCTTCTGACTCCACAGCCCTATTACTTAGCTTTTGTCCTTGGTCCTCAGATTTTGAGAGCACTCATAGCAGCACCTACAGGCCTCTGACTGTCCGGCAGCTCTTCCTGGATGGGACCTCTGTCCCTTGAATGCTGATTTGGGGTGTAGGCCCACTGATGGCCTCATCACTGCTTGATTGATGTGTGGCTCAATGGGCCTTCCTTGGAAAAGGTAGCATGGATTTCTTCACACAGAAGGCAAATTGAAAGATTCTGTCCTACCTCTCAAGTCAATGCAAAAATTTTTAAAATGTGTGCGCAGAATAAAATGGCATTTTCAAGAAGGATATGTTAAAAGATAATATAAAATTTTAAATAACTATTCAGACATGGCTTTTCTTAAAAAAAAAAAGTCACTTATTTATGTTATGCTTGTTCTTATAAATTTTAAATAAATAAAGAGATATATGAAAATCTACTTCTGTAAAATAAAGTGGTACCTACTTTTGTGAATACAAAAATACATTGAATACAATTAAAATAGACTTGGACATAAATAGGTTGGAATGGGTGGATAAATGGCAGATGGAAATTTTTTCAGAGAAGTGTAAAGTGATGCATTTTCGTGAGAAGAATGAGGCGAGGCAACATAAAATAAAGAGCACAATTGTAAACATCGCTTAGCTTTACACATTTTCGCTCAACCTGGATGCTGACAGCATTCTTGCCTTGTCTTGCCTTTCCTAGTCCTGCCATTTTGGGATATGTCCCATCAGCTGGAGCTCCCAGATTCTCAGTACTTCTGTTTTGCCATGCCATTGAGTGCAGACACAAGGTCTGGAAGCTTGTCATTGTCATCAGAAGTCCTCACTCAAGACACCTTTCAGTCAGGGAGTCCTGACACACAATGACGAGGATAGCCTACAATACCAGCCCAGCAGCTTAGACACTGTCGGTCAACTGCACAAGTGATCGGAGTCCGCTTTCTCTCCTTGCAGCAAATGAGGAGCCAGATGTCAGGCAGTTCACCACCCATCTTGGCTTTTTCTGCCTTATTGTGTTTGTTTTCTTCTGCAGTGAGTGGTATTAAGGCTGCTGAAGTAGTTGTCACAGTTGTTAGTGCTGCTGGTGCAGGTCTGGGAAAAATGGTGAAGTTTTCTGAGAGAGTAAGAGGCAGTGCATAGGGCACGTAGGCTAAGGGGAGATGTGGGTTTTGGGTGGGTGAAAGTGAGTGCAGGAAAATGTTGCATGTAATAGTGAGAGGAGTAGAGTATGAACTGGGGTGGAAAATGAGTGCAGCAGCAGAGATTGAGTGACTGTGTGAGGCTGCAGAGAGAAGATGGTGGCAGTTATACTGACCGAGCGGAGAAAGTCATTGGCCATTTTCCTTCACTGTCAGGCATTCCTCCAGATGGTTGAGACTGCAGTGACCAAATAGCAACCTTGGACCAAGCTGTCAGGGTCTGATAGTATGGCTGATCCTGGGGGAAGAGGACATTCTGCTCTGTGCATCACCCTGTCCATCAGGACCCCCAGGTACCCTTCCTCCTCATGTGTGGTGCCAGTTTCCTCTTATTTGCACATGTCTGAGGAAAATATCATGAACCATAGAGAACAGCTTCAGACTGACAGTGTGTGACAAGGTGCACAATGGCCTTTTAAAAATGGCATGGGCACCAAGGATGCCAGTCAGTTCCAGGATATTGTGTCAATGCCAGGATATCCTGGCAGTGGGGAATTTTTCTGGGATGGTGGAATCCAGCTAGCATTGGACGAGAGAGGTGCCTTAGGGGCATAGGTAGTTAATGAAGCACGTTCAGGATGATAGCTAAGGTTTTGGGAGAGAAACTGATGCTTTGTCAAAATATGACACAATTCAGTCCTAAGTTTCAGAGGAAGCTGGCAGGATGTCAATTTTTTTTCCGGAGAAGCAGCAGCTGTTTTCCCTTCATGTACCCAGACTGTGTAGCCTCTGCCATCCTTTGCCCAAGCTGCACCCTTAATGGTGGAAGTACCCATTTGTATACATTGTGTTTAAGTTACTTCCCCTTAATTACACAAACTTTATCAGGGTCAATAACAGGAACTACCATCTTCAATCAAAGACTCTCAGATTTTTTGATTTATTCCTGCTACCACCTACTGCGCCTCTCAAAGAAATGAGGAGGGGATATGCAAGGAACACGAGTGAACCATGAAAAGTATTCTGATCTCAGCCTTGTGAGCAGGGCAAAATCAATGGCTCCAATTGGTTAATCAATCACCAGCCAATGTTATCTGAACTTTCCACTGAAGTAATAAGACGTAAGAAGTTTTGTTGCTGGAGCTTGTATTTTACCAGGCTGTTGTTTTGTGGATTAATTTACAATTGTCCAAAACATCTCTTTGTGCTTTATATTTTAATGATATAAAACCACATGGTTTGATTTATTTTTGTTCATTGACAGGATAAGGATGTCACTGGCTAGGCAACATTTTTTGCGCATCCCTAATTGCCCAGAGGGCAGTTAATAGTCAACCACATTGCCGTGGGTCTGGCATCACATGTAGGCCAGACCAGGTAAGGATGGCAGTTTCTTTCCGTAAACGACAGTAGTGAACCAGATGGGTTTTTCCAGCAATCGATTCATGGTCATCATTAGACTCTTAATTCCATATATTTTATTGATTTCAAATTCTACCATCTGCTGTGGTGGGATTTGAGCCCAGGTCCCCAGAACATTATCTGGGTCTGTAGATTAACAGTCTAGCAATAATATCACTAGGCCATTGCCTCCCCCAGATCTTCACTATGTTTCAATGACAGTCTTACAAACATTAGGTGACAGACATTGGTAGGTTTCAGGGTTGGCTCGGCAACACTCTCTTGACAACTTTAAATACAGGAGACCTGTTGAAAATACACTTGTAAGATTTGTGGGCGAGGATCGTAGGAGATTAAGGAGAAGACAACACAACACGAAGGGAAAAATGGGATTTATATTTTTAATCCATTCGGCTATCATTGTTTTTTTAACAATGAGAATTACTGTGAATATATTTAAAAGTATATGACATGTAGGAGAAGATAGTTTAAGGCAGTCATTGTTTATTTAAAAACAGTAAGAGGACCCTGGAGCTGTTGAGGTATATATTGAGGTCTGTTAGGAACCAAATTGTATGGCTGATTACTGTAAATCTTTTTATTTTGATTTGCCCATAATTTAGTGTAATTTAGGGCCATGAAATTTCTTATTGCAAATGCTTTCACATTTAACGGCTCTAAGCAACCATGAAAATGTAAGACTTGCAAGAATTGCCAGGATTGGCCTTCAGAGTCCCAAAGTGGCATTTCTATAATAAGCAAATAAACACAACAAAATAAGCATGTTTTACTTCAGTGAATTCAAGGGATATTTCCAAAGAAATAAATATTGGTTTTGACTTTCTTGCACATGAGTTTTTTTTTATTTCTTTTAACCTTGGCCACGATAATTACATTTCAGTAGTGGAAAATATTCCAT